ATCTATTTTTTTAATTAATTCATTAAAAGATTGATGTGGATCAAGTTTCAATTTGATAAACAATAACTGAATTATAATTATATAAATCTTCACTATTTTTAATAAGACTTTCTCGAATTTGTTCATCAATCCAAATACGTTCTTGACTATATGAACATTTACCTACAAATATAACATTCGATTCGTTTTGTTTTTTATTCTTAATTTCCTATTTATAGAACCTTTCCAAATATTTAATCGTTTCCATTCGTTATTTGTTTCCTTTGTCATATTGTTTATCTTTAAAAGACATTTTTTTTTAGAAGTTTTTTTAATTTTCAAACTACTTTTGTAAAGACAAAAGCGTTCAATCGATAGATAAAATATGTTTAAAGGAAAAAGTAAGATTATCTTCGATAAATACGATCGATTAATCATTCTCTTTTATAATGTGATTATTCAACTATGTCGATTATATTATTCATTGAAATATTCGTTTATTTTATAGAATATATTATAGAGATCAATTTATCTTATAGATAAAACTCATTGAACATGACTAATTGTTGTTTTATTCGAGAGAATCTTCATTAGCTAAACAAAAATTACCTCTAAATATCTTGACAATAATTAGTACTCTTAGTTTATTGCAGCAATAATAGAAAATTTCGAGAAGATTTTTCAAGTAAATTAAATTGTTTCCCGTTGTCAAACAAATGAAAACTGATTTTGAAATATTTAGTTAAAACGTTTTCTATAGAGATAGATATTAACAAGAGGATAATATTAGAAATATTTAAGATATATTTATTATGTCCTATCCTAAAATAAGAAAATCGACTTTTCAGTTTTAAAATGAATATATACTTTGTTGTTTTTATTCTAAAATAATCGCATTAGAACAATTATTGATCTGATTTTTATTGGTGATAGTTGCAAGAAGACACTCTTTTAAAATATTAACTTTGAAAAAATAACTCCTGTTAGATATAAATAAAAAGATTTAGTCAATGTCTATAATATGTAATATGTCGAATAAAAAGAAAGAAAGAAAGATAGATAGATAGTGTCATTTTTTCATTGATTAGGTCACTGATAGTCACGTCAGATTAGGCACCATTCGCATTGAAAAAAATAAAATGAATTAAACAACGTGATTGGTGCATTAACATTGAAATCATCTTTTTTAGATGGGTTATTTTTTAATTCAGTCTTAATTCGTTTTATTTTTTTCAGTCTGACTGATCCCTTATAAAAAAATGCATCATTGTTTCCATTGACGATTGAGGTCATATAGATGATATATAAAAGATCATTTTTCAAAGTTATAAATGAATATACGGAGACAAAAATAAAATATGAAATATTCATTAATTAAATTAAATGATTTATCTGATGAAATCCTTATTTATATTCTGAAAAAATTGGAGAATGATCAAGTACTCTATTCTTTAATAGGTGTTAATAAACGGCTCAATACGTTGATACATGATAGAATTTTTACCAGTCATTTAAGATTGATGAGATATATCTCCGATGATTCTATCAATCTATTATCTGATACAATACTTGATCGGTTTTATTCAGAAATTTTACCTTCGATTGATCATAAAATCCAATGGCTCGATCTTGAATCATCATCTATGGAACGTATTCTTTCTAGAAATTATCCTAATTTATACAGACTTGGTTTATATAATCTCGAAATAGAAAGCGCAAAACATCTGTTTACTAGTAAGTTATTTTATTTTAACTCTCTTTGATTGATGAACAAATAATAGCTATAGAACTGATTTTATAATAAATTTAATAGAATTTAGTAGATCATTGAATATTTAATTGATAATAAATAATAGATTCTGAATAAGAATAAAAAGATTATCAGAAATAAGGTTAGTTGAAAATTAATATAAATATTTATATTTGAGAAATAAGATTTTTTCAAATAATCTATATTGACGATTTATTTCTTTCTAAAGAGTTTTATATTTATGTTTAGATGAAACAATTTTAAATGACTTATTTAAAAATGATATTTTATCACTTATTATCCATATTAGTAAAAATAAAAAACAAACTTCAACAAAATATGATAATACAATCATATTTACAAATATATTTTCTATATTCACTAATCTACAGGAGTTAAAATTCGATTCAAATTCAATTTATCCTCGATACTTATCATTTGATATTTCACCTCCAATTTTTATTTCTTCAACTCTATTAGAATTACATGTCAATGTAACGCATTTCTATGATTGTATTTATTTACTTGATGGACGTTTTAATCAACTTCGGCTTCTTCATGTTAACACTTTTTCTATTGAGCGTTCTTCAGTTCGAACAGTCAATAATTCGGTAGATTATTTCGATTAATATATAATTTATTCAAATAATATTCTATGCCTTCTATTTTTTTTAGGAAAAGTTACCTAATTTAAAATGCTTTTCATTACATTGTGAAATAGATACAGTTTATTATGATCAATTAATTCTTCCACTTTTACATCGAATGTTAAATCTAGAAAAACTTCATTTATGTCTTAAAATTTATGGGAGAAACACTTTTATTGATGGGAATAATTTGAAAATAAATATAAAAAATTATATGCGACAATTAAATCAATTTACATTTAACATTCGATCAACTATTCGTCTTGATAATAAAATTAATTTACTATCAAATGAAGATATTCAACATACATTCAATCATTTTCAAAATAATAAAATTATTTCTTCTGTTGATTATTTTTCCGAGATGGAACGAGGTCAATGTCATATTTATTCATATCCATATCAATTGAAATATTATCATCAAATAACAAATAATTTTCCAGGTGGAATTTTTAAATATGTTCGTGAAATATCATTATTTGATGAAAGATCTTTTGAACATAAATTTTTTTTTCAAATTTCTCAATCATTTCCTTTTATGAAAAAATTAACTTTGATTAATGAAAAACCACAAAATGATAAACGATATAGAATATTCGATGATGACAATCAACATTTATCAATTATTGAATATCCACATCTTTCTCATCTTAACCTTGATGAAGCTCATGATGATTACGTCGAACAATTCCTTCTTGATACGAAAACCTCTTTACCAAATAGTCTTTATCTCTCTGTCGATTATCAAGTACTGAAAAGAGTGACACAACATTTTACAAGAAATACAACACGAATAAATTCTATTAAACTACGTTCTTTAGGTCTAATTGGAAAATGTAAAATTCCTAAATATGTAAAAGAATATTTTCCTCGTACAAAAATATTATGATTGTTATCAATGATTATTTAAATAAAATATGGTTAAATGCTGATTAATATATAGTGGATTAAACTATTGAAATGAAAACAAGAGGGTGAAAGAGAATTAAAAAGACGAGTAAACATCATTAAATTTAATGATGAGAGAATATTTATTTTTCTTCAATAATATCTGAAAAAAAACTAATGTTTTCAGCTGATGGAAATTTTAATATATTATTATTTGATTCTTGTGTTGAATGTCCTCCTACTATTCTTTTTCTTTTTCGTTCAGCTCTTTAAAAATAGCGTTTAATTTATTTTTGAGTTTTTGAACAAAAACTGGTAACATTTTATATTCGATGTCATCACTATAAAACAAAAGGATTTATCAATGAATAAACAAGGTAAGAAATTTTCAATTTACTCTTTAGCATTGATAAAGTTCTTGTATTGAAGCGGGAACACTTTATAATTTGTATCGTCATTAAACTATATAGAAAAAAGTTAAAAACGAATAGAAATTCAATAATTTACTTGAAATCGAATGTAAAACATATCCCCTTCATAGTAATATGTTGCTTCAACAATATACTTTTCTATCGAATATTTTACGATCACACGACCAAATTCATTCCGATAAAAATTGAATACGATGTTTTCCTATAATATAAAAATCAATAAATATCAATAAAATGAAATATACATTTGTTACCTTTTCGTCTTGTCCAACAACACGAAAATCATAATCAATTAACGTCCAGTGTGACACAAGTATAAGTTTATCATAATGAGAAAAAATTTTGCCTTTATAGATAAGGCACAAAAGTTTTAAGACGTTAAGATCCATGTTTATCTATAAAAAAGAAGAATTTTTGTCAAATGATCTATCATCATATCAGACCGATAAGAAACAAGTTTATTTGATAAACGTGAATTATTATTAGAAAATTCACCTAATGATTTACCAACAAATGTATGAAGATCTTTTATTATTTCAAGATCTATTTTTTTTTTTGGTGAAAAGTGTTGGATAACACGATCAGTATATTGTCTACCTGAACAAAAAAAAAATTTATAAAAAGAATATTTTTTAATAAAAATATAAACTTGTTGAATCTTTTGAACCAATAAGAGCAGCAATTACATAGTCGTTCACATGAACATCTTATATGAGTACAATCAATACTAATAAAACAAATACATCACTAAGAACTGATGGTGATGTTAACGATCTCATTGATGAAACCAGTTGATTAACACCACCTAATTTTGTATTGAATTTTTCTGCCAAATTCTTCTAGGTTTTATTCCATTGATAAAAAATCTGATTTGTTTTTATCAGCTGGATTATATAATTCCACAAGAGGTAAATGTCGATGACGTAGACGCACTTCCCATTTATCATTAAAATAATCAGCAACTGTTATTTGCTCATTGTCATTTTTAATAAATTTATGTGTTCATTTTCTGGACGACCAAAGGATTTTAAATGATATCAACGAACTTGATTTGTGTGAGTTGTTCAGACCAAAGAGATTAAGATTTTTTCGAACAAGTAATGAATAATCTTTTGGTGGAATTCCTAGACAAATAAAAGAAAAGAGAAATTTTTAACATAAAGTTTTAGAAAAAATTCACCATGTTTTCGAATATTGTTATTTAAATAAGAAGAAAGAAATTCAACTAAATTAGAATTTTGATAAAAACAACAAAATCTATTATAATATTTAATGTCGGATCGCGTTCGCCAAGTAAAATTGCTTGATAAAATCCTTATGCAAAAGCACGTCGATCACCTAAACAAGAAGAAAAAACATTTAATGGATAAAATAGAATAATTTCATTTACTAAGATCATCTAATTGTTGTTGTTTTGTATAAGATTGTTTTTTAATTGTAATCATATCATATCTTTGTGTTCTTGTTCAATAATTTTTCTTTTTGTAATACTTGTAAACGTTCATCTTTTTTACATCAACGCCATGAATCATCACGCATTAAAATTTCAGCATCAACATTAAATTAATATAATATTATTTCATTTGATCGTTTTGAAAAATTTATTTGAAAATCATTAATAGAAAGTTCAATTCGGTGACCAGCTGAAATAAACAAAAAAAAAGTTTCTTATTAAATTAAAGGAATTCTAAAAGTAAATCAAAGAATTTCTAGTAAAACAGATATATGTTCGTTTGTCTCTCAGATTAAATGAATAGAAATCTATACGAAATCGTTGTCTGTCTACTAGAATGAACGATTATCTATTTATCTAGCTTATGAGAATATGCAAGACGAACGAGTGGATAAATAGAAACGCACATGTATAGAAGAAAAAATAAAGCGAGTTGATAGCGTTGAAAAGGACTAAGAATCTCTCTCTTTCTTTTTGAATAAATGTTTAAATAGATGAAATCAACGGAGGATCCTATATTGAATAGTGGTAATCTTTGGATATGAAAACAAATGATATTTTATATAAAGTTTTATTTGAATTTTTCAATAATTTAGAATTTCTATTGTGAATGACGAAATAATATAACGATCATTTGCTAAAGAAATTATAGACAATACATTCACAAAATAATCCAAATGTCATTATTTTCAACGAGATTATAGAATTTATGTCACAATTTTATACATACTTGAGTTCGACCAGGTCCATAGAAAGTGCAAGTTCAGGAGCGAAAAATTCCGATCCGATCCGTTCTATCTTCTATTAACTGACCATAAACAACACCCAAATGATTATATTGCAAAGCTAATATTTAAAAAAAAACTATTCATTTAATTGACTGAAATGTTTAAAGCGAAATAGGATAATAAGATCCATTGTTTTGTATTCAACAATAATGTCTTTTATACAAGAGTTTCATTGAATCTGAAATAGTTATTATTATTGAATAAACACATCGGTTTTCTGTCTACATTAACTTACTCAATAACAATTGTCAATAGTATGAATTAAATTTAGTATTGCGGCTTGAAGATATTAAATGATAATTTTCGATTTTGTCAGATCAACTTTAACAAATAAAGATGACTTCCAAATATCGAGGAAAAATATAGAGTCATACTAAATTTCATACAATCATAATAATTTGTTTCTTTCTTAGTTAATAATTGAAGATAGATACAAGAAAGTTTATCAAGTTCTTCGACATAGCAGATTTAATTTTTTAATCAAGACAGCATAACAAGTTGAATATATATCTCTATTGAGTTTTCCATTCGTTTGATATTACTTTTTTAAATCGAAGATTTTCAAATATTCTTCTATGAATCATTAATACTTATTCTTTCTCCTACTTAAATATTCGTTACGAAAGGTGACAACTTCATCTTTGTACTTGAAAAATACATAAATACGAAAAACGTACGAAATATACGTTCTTGGTTTTGCGCTAACTGATAGAGAACGCAAAAGTAAATGCATATATTTATCTTTATTTATTACACATGTAAAATGATTTCTTTCCTTTTTACTTAAACTTCATAATAAAATCTCGATGAATGGGAAACTTAGTTTTGTTGATTCATTCGTTTGAGTTCATTTGAACGATCAAAAGCAGTTGTATTGAATGAAACTGGTCAATCGATCGAGTTCATCTCATTGTTCGATATAATATAGATCAAAGTTTTTTTCAATAAGGTCATTTTTTCACCGGATATCGATTTATTTTGATCAATAACACAAACAAGATCGTTGAGAACACGCGATGCCTTTGTTGATTCAACCTTCGGCTGTAAAATCAGTGGAGCTTGAAGAGTAACATGACCGTATATATTTGATTCTTTATCATAACTAAGTGTACCCTCAGATACCCATTGAAAAGTTACTAAGAACACTTCAGATAATCCTCGAAAAGTTGCGAAGGGTACGCCAGATAGCCCGTGAAATACTAAGGGTCCCTCATATAGTTCTTAAGAAATTACAGAGAACATATGTATTAGCATTAAAAATAATGCTAATTTAATGCTAACACCTAAGCATTAATTAATACTAATTCAAAATAACACCAAAGCATTACTATTAATTTAACGCTAATGCTTTATACATTAGCATTACTATTAATTAACGTCAATGCTAATGCGACACCCCTTCTTTCAATTCAAATTATAGTCATTTTCGAAAAATCGTAACTAATAATCATTTTCTGGTCAATCAAATAAGGCTTTTGCTTGTCATATATACAAATGTTGCCTTAGCATTCCAGATAAAAATCAACGTTTATTATGCAGATAAGTTCTTATCTATTATTTGTTCCGTTTTTTGTACCACTTCGAATTATTTATCTTCTACTTAATCATTTTCACAGTTAAACGATTACCTAGAACAGTTAGTTAATATTTGTTGCCTACACCAAAAAATAAATTCATTTTATTAATAGATATAGGATAAGATTTCTAACTTGGCAACAATTACTTTGCAACTAATTATTTCAAAATTTTCATTATTCTTTAAAATCGTTCGATATTTTTGCTCGTTCAATCAATCACATTCAAATGACTTATTTAATCTTGAACTGAACAAAAACATAACAGTTACAGTAAATGATGATATAGACAAGAGAAATTTCAAAATGTGGAGAGATAATTGTACATCTATTTTTAGTTCATTATTCACCAATGGAGAAACAATGCGAGAGCCTCCTGTGTAGGATATCGCGCTTATTTTATTATTAAAGTTTGATCAGCTGAGACATTCAAAATCGAACTTGAGGTCGTATGACGAGTAGATGCCTAATTTGAGTTCGAATATAAATGGAAATTTCAAAAACACACAATAGCCATAGTCGATAAAAAGGTTTTAAAAAAATTTATTTCAATTATAAACGTAAAAGTGCCTTATCTTGATTCTGGCTCCTGTTTCAAATATCATAAGATTGATCGTAATTAGAGACAAGCATGACTTAGAATTATCACAATAACCATCACTAAGTTTTATCGATAGTTGATTAATTATCAAATTTTCCCTATTTAGAATTATCTCAATTAAATATAATTTCTAGAAGCCTCTCAAATTAGTTATATGACACAAATCTCCGAAATATTTTTTTCCTTATTATTAATCGATTTGTGTCTGTTTTCTGACCGACTTTAAATTTAATTAATGACTTACTGATAAAACATCCCAATGTTTGACATCATCTATGCAAAATAAGAAAAACCCTTCGATCACAATGAATGATTAATGCATATATATAAATCATTGTAAAAAAAAGAGAAAGATTAACAAGACAATAAATAAACAGCATATACACAAAAAAAATTTTTTTTAAATAAAATCTTTAAATGATGAATACGACAATACGTATTATTATTATTATTGTTCGGAAAAAAAGACACTTACAAGAATCATTCGAAATAATAATTCACAATTACAAACACATACGAGAAGAAGACTAAACATTTATTTTCAAGCAAAAATGAGCAAATATTTAAGCATTAATAACAGGTGTTTGTTGTGTTGGTGATGATGGTTTATTATTTGTAACATTAAAACAATGAACTTCATTTATAGTTGGTGTTTGACGAACTTTTACTGAAATTAATTTTCGTTTTGGTGGCGATGGTGGCGAAGCTGCAGCTTTTTAACTTGATGTTGAAGATATTGGTGAAACCGATTGATGATCACCATTTTCTGAAGTTGATTCAGTTAAAGCAAAAGAAATTGATGACAAAAAAAAGGAAAAATTTTCTTTAATTACCTTTTAATCGAGTTAATTGAAATGAAAGCGAATCATGTTCAATTGATTTTGAAATTTCATCACTATAAAACAAGGAATACTCGTCACTACGACTCGCTTGACCCTCGACTGAATATGATCTAACTATCATCTATCGCTTCCTGTTGAGTTTTGTGCTGAGAAGTATCATTGAAAGAATACGCGTAAACAGAAAAAACAATAATATTATCATTGGAGACCATTATGTGAAAGACTGGAAGTTTTTATTATCTGTTGAGGTTTTTAAAGTGAGTCGTAAGAAGCAACTCACAGTTAGTCGTTGGCACTTCAATGGGCCACCACTGCCGACTGCTCGATTTTGTGTATGATTTAACGTGGTACTTCATTTTCTCGTTTAAAATATTCAAATATTGACCATCAATTTACATCGATAACAAATAAAATAAGACTTTTCTCAGAAACAGCGAAGATTTAACTATGTTTTTAATTTAGTACATCTTCATTGGAAGCTTGTTAAATAATTAATATATTGCCTTTCTTTAGGAAACTATAAAAGATTTCTTCTGTTATTTATTTTTTTTTGCACTTTTAATTAGAAACTCAATCACATGCCTGGAGGATCTATCTAATAAAATCCTATTAGACATTTTCGACTATTTCGATGCTTATGCATTATAAGAAACGTTCTGGAATCTCAATAATCGCTTTCGAAACTTGCTCACTGATTCTTCGTTTCCACTGAAGATAACTTCTTTTTATTCTAGAGAAGAAGCAAAACTTTCACATTGTTGTAAGAAATTCATCGTTTCCAAATAGACATAAAATCATTTCACTCCACTTATCATTCTGGAAAACCATGAAACTCTTTTTGCAAATTGATGTCTATCGATTCATCATTTCATCGTTTTGAATCATTTCATCTTTCTCCCGTGAAATCAAAAGATCTTATACCTCTTCTCAAAACTCTATCTTCTTTGCCTCGTCTCATCTCATTAGATCTGTCTACGCAAGATAATATTCTATGCTGCGAACTTGAAGAGATTTTTCGACTGATTTTTAGTTTACCTATGTTAAAATATAATACACTTTCTTCCGAAGCATTTCGACCAAAGATTTCATTACCGATCAATGCCAACAATCGATATACTAGCATTATATCTATGACCATAGGTCATACTTGTTATCTTGAGCAACTAATGATTTCGCTCTGCTTATACTCCTCAACTCTCTCATTTGAGATGTAGAAGACTGATTTACCTACGTGAAAATTTTTGAAGAAAAATATCAATTACCATATCTAATCTACATCATATTTTCATAGGACAATGTTATGTGAAATTTGTTGAATTTGAATCATTTATTTTGCAAATGTGTTCTCAATTAAAAATGATCCATATTATTACTTATCATAATCCGGCTTATTTGGATGCTAATCGATGGGAAAGATTCATTTCACATCATATACCTCATTTACACAGATTTCATTTTGAACATCATGATAGGTTTTTTGGTCGTTTCACAGCAGAGATGTCCATCACGGCTGAGAATTTGCCGCTGCCGCACCGCCGTCGTTTAAAAAACATGATGCCGCGCCGCGTTGTTCGGAAAAACGGAAGCTATCGCACCGCGGCTTACTGGAAAAAAATCTGCCGCTACCGCGACAATACAAAAAATACAGTCTAGAAAATGTGTTCGTCTCTAAAATAAAAAAATATGTATTATAAAGTTCATGAATTACTGCGCCAAATGCAAGGGTGAAAAACAGATCCCGATAGATTCTAGTGATCCTATAGATTTCTGATGAATATTAATAGAGTGCGTAATAAAATTGCCTGACTCTTCAAAAATCGATCAGAGTCCCCTTAATAAATATTCATCACGAGAAAAACTACAAAACCATAGAAACAAATTTATTATATTATTCAAAGATGTTAAGTAATGAATGATGCAAAAGTCTTTGTACAAATATCAAATCCTGTTAGACCATATTATCAACTTCTGAATCAATTAAATTTTTTTTATTAGAAAGAGCAAAGTCTGAACTACAAATTTTGTATCAGACATATTTTTCGAAAACGAATCTGAGACGAAGGAAAAGCCAAAAAGCAAACACCTCTAAAAAAGTTCTTGCAACGTTTTTTGCAACTTGAAAAGTCTGTATTTTTCAATTATTTTAAGCTACATGGGTCAAATTTGAAGAAAAAAATACACCAAAATGTAGCGCATCAAAAACTCTATCGATATCAGCTTTGAGAAACATTTTTGGATCCATTCTTGACTCTTTAATCAAAAAAGTTTGAAACACGAAATTTTTGTAGAATTGAGCCTCTTTTCAAGAACTATCAGTTTACAAAAATATCAGCCATCATCTGCAGAAATTATGCATGAACTGAATTCTTTTCGCGTTATTTGGTCGAAATATATCTAATCGTAAAATTTTAGCACAAAAAAATATATTTAAAAAATATTTTTTATCCTTGTACAACGATCAAGTAGTGAGAACGACCAAACAACTCAGTCTCTTCCAGAAAAAGCTATTTATTGATATAAAAACTAGGAATAGATTTAACTTCCAATACATCATTAGAAAGAGCACTATTTTTACTACAAAAATCATCATTGAACCTGTTTTCTCAGTCCTCTTCTAATATGAAAAGCTAACAGAAAGTAGAAAATGATGTTGCTCGATGGTGAAGTTGCAAGAACTTTTTTAGAGGTGTTTGCTTTTGGGCTTTTCCTTTGTCTCAGATTCGTTCTCGAAAAATATGTCTGATATAAAATTTGTAGTTCAGACTTTGCTCTTTCTAACAAAAAGAATTTGATTCATTCAGAAGTTGATAATATGGTCTAACAGGATTTGACACTTGTGCAAAGACTTTTGCATCGCTCATTATTAAAAACGCATACCGATTTTTTTAACATATATTGTTTTTATTGTGCGTATGAAACGAGATTGGCAATGACAAAAACGCAAGTCAATTAAAACAGAGCAGCATACATATTCTATAATTGCTATTAACATGTTTTCAAATAACATCATCATTTACTTATACAATATTAACACTTCTCTTTCTGTTAGTCGGTGGAATAAACTTAAAAGTCTGTTGATCGAGAGAAACCTTCTCACTAGGTATGTGCGGTGTGAGAAAACTGAACACCGACTGACACCGACACTGATGCACACTGAACACCGACATGTCCACTGACACTAATCACCGAAAAACTGAAAGCACTGACATCGACGTCACTGGAACATCGGTGACCACTGCATCACTGATCACTGATTTACTGACATTGTTAGTGTCAGTGATGAATAGTGCTCGGTGTCTTCAGTGACACACTGATGTTAATTACTATTAACTATAATTCATAAGCAGAGTATCATGACTACGATACCTTACTGAAGTCATTGAAAACCGATCATCAGTGACGGTGATGATTCAGTGTATCAGTAATCACTGATCAATAGGTCATCAGTATTTCAGTGACGTCGGTGTCGGTGCGTTCAGTTTTTCAGTGGTCACTGACACTGAATCTATCAGTATTCAGTGAGCATCACTGTCAGGGATGAAAGTGTCAGTTTTTTCAGTAATCTCACTGACACCGCACATGCCTACTTCTCACTAATCTGAAATACGACAGAATTATAATTCCAAGCCTCAAGAGTTATTCGAAAAAAATTTGAGAAATTTTTCGAAAATTTTAACCACTGCTACGCCTGGCCGCGACAGCCAAAGTAGGTAAATTGCCGCTGCCGCTGCCGCCATGGACATCTCTGTTTCACAGTACATGGAGATTACCAATTGCTTCATCGATTTACTTCTCATTCTTTTGGATTAAACGGCAATAGATCTTTCAGATGAAAATCGATATGGATCGAGAAGATGAGAATATCATCATCTATTCAATACGTCCAGCCAAGTAAATCACAAAATGTCTTTCATTCTAACAAATCTGCCGTTCTTTTTAGGAAAGAATGGTACGATTTACCTGAGGCTATAGAAAATGACGCACATTTCACTTATGATTCCGATTTAAATCAATCACAACAAGTCATATCTTATGGCGAACAACAGCCGAACGAATCCTTCGCTGTATCTGATACATCCACTGAGCTCATGGTCAAGTGCATGAAATTCGAAGACATGATTCCATTTTTCACTACTATCCGAATTATTAAACTGAGCGTTTCATCTGACAGAAATTTTTTTAGCAGATTAATTGATCTGATTAGTTATTTGCCTAATTTGGATACATTGAAGGTTTGATCTTTGCCATTGGAAGAAACAGATACTTGTTATACTTCAAGACCAAATAATAACAAAATTACAAAAGCGAATCTCAGGAGAATGACGGAACTGATAGAAGTTGAATTTCTTCTCACTCTTTGTCCATTGATGAGACATTTCGAGGTCGGATATTGTTTTGATATTGATTACAAATCACTTGTACGATTTATTTTAATGCAAAGCATCGAAAAGACACGACATCTTCACTCTTTGGTCTTTGCATTGAGCAAAGTACTGATAAGATAATTGAAGAATTGCACGAGATGGTCGATGTCGAGCATTTAATTCATAACTATAGGATTAAATATATACAGTACCCGCCATAAGTGGGCACGATTAAGAAAACGAGGAAGACAAAGAAGTTATATTATTATGTCTTATTTACAAAATCCACATTATATGTAGATCATTCTAATAATTAATATAATCGCTTTTTCTTTTAATTAATAATTGTACTCTTTATTCCATAGAATCGGCTAGTTTTTCAGCAAATCCAATAGATAAATTTTTCCATTCTTTTTTTATTCTTACAAAGAAATCATTGATTGATGTAGGTGGTTGTGTATTTATTTTGAGTTTTATTAAAATCCAAACATTTTCGATTGGCTTACAGTCTGGAGATTGCGATGGCCAAGGTAATGATTGTATCCTATTATTGACCTTGAACATTTTGTTTTTTGAGATGTGCTTCGGATGATTATCTTCTAGAAGTTTCTAATTATAGTTATTATCACCAAAACATTTTTTTTCCGATGCCAGGAGTCCATTCTTGTAAATTTTGCACATAAACTTTGAATTTAATGTTTGTCTAAATAATAGCAATTTTCCAAATTCATGTTTGCTAAAACAGCTCCAAACATGA